GGAAATCCTACCGGGAAAACCGGGAAAACCGGGAGAGCCGGGTGGTGATCGCAGCGCTGCGCCGGGATCCGGGATCCGCCGGCGGGATCCGCCCCGGGAAGGGACCCCCGGAGGAGGCGTCGGACGGCGAGGAGGAGGAGGAGGAGGAAGGAGCGGGGCTGGAGCCGCCGTGGGCCGGGAAGCGGCGGCGAGCGGAGCCGCTGGAAGTGGACAACGCTTCCTTCTCCAGCGACAGCCCCCAGGACGATTCCCTGAGCGAGCACCTGCAGAGCGCCATCGACAGCATCCTCAACCTGCAGCAGCCCCGCGGGATCCCGGCCCCGACACCGGGATCGTCCTCGGGATCATCCTCGGGATCCGCCTCGGGATCGCCCTTCCCGGGACCCCCCCGGCGCTCCGAGCCCCTCCTGCCCCCGCCCAGCCACAACGGCGGCCTGGGAGCCGCCCGGACGTGCACGAGATGACCCCGGGAGACCGGGAAAGGCCGGGGAAAACCGGGATTGGGAAAGGCCGGGACACCGGGAAAGGCCGGGAAAGGCCGGGGTTGGGAAAGGCCGGGACACGCCGGGACACCGGGAAACGCCGGGAAACGCCGGGAAAAGCCGGGATTGGGAAACGCCGGGACACGCCGGGACACCGGGAAACGCCGGGAAACGCCGGGATTGGGAAACGCCGGGACACGCCGGGACACCGGGAAACGCCGGGAAACGCCGGGATTGGGAAACGCCGGGACACGCCGGGAAACGCCGGGATCGGGAAACGCCGGGACACCGGGAAACGCCGGGAAAATCCGGGATTGGGAAACGCCGGGAAAATCCGGGATCGGGACACTGGGAAACGTCGGGAACGGGAAAATCCGGGATTGGGACACCGGGAAACGTCGGGAACGGGAAAATCCAGGATTGGGACACCGGGAAACGTCGGGAACGGGAAAATCCGGGATTGGGACACCGGGAAACGTCGGGAACGGGAAAATCCGGGATTGGGACACCGGGAAACGTCGGGAACGGGAAAATCCGGGATTGGGACACCGGGAAACGTCGGGAACGGGAAAATCCGGGATTGGGACACCGGGAAACGTCGGGAACGGGAAAATCCGGGATTGGGACACCGGGAAACGCCGGGAAAATCCGGGATTGGGAAACGCCGGGATTGGGAAACGCCGGGAAAATCCGGGATTGGGACACCGGGAAACGCCGGGATTGGGAAATGCCAGGATCGGGATGAACCAGGAATGGGAAATGTCGGGAACGGGAAAATCCGGGACACCGGGAAAATCCGGGAATGGGAAAATCTGGGATTGGGAAACACCAGGAACGGGAAACAGCGGGACACCGGGAAAATCCGGGAATGGGAAAATCTGGGATGAGAGAGCGGCGGGAATGGGAAAATCTGGGAATAGGAAAATCTGGGAATGGGAAACGCCCGGAACGGGAAAATCTGGGAAGGGGACAAACCGGGATCGGGATAAACCGGGATGGGAGAGCGGCGGGAATGGGAAAATCCGGGATGGGGAAAATCCGGGATGGGGAAAATCCGGGATGGGGAATTTGGGACCGCGGGGCCGAACCGGGAGCTCCGGGCTCGGGGGGGGGGAGGGGAAGGATGGGGAAGGGCTGGACCGGGAATTCCGACCCGGGAATTTGGGAATTCGGGAGAGACGAGCGGGAAAAGCGGGAATGCGGCCCCGAATCCATCGGGAAAAGCCTGGCTGGGATTTCCCGGGATCGGGAGGAGGATCCCGGATCCCTCGGAACATCAGGAATGGGCGATTCCCCCCCCCCAAAAAAAAGCGGATTTTCCTGGGATTTATCCCAACCCCAGGGCGGAATTCCCGCCCCAATCCCCCCGAACGAATTTTCCCTGGAAAATTCCGGATTCATGGAGCGTCCCCCCCACCCCCCTTCCCCAAATTCCACCCCAAAAATCCCCCCCAAAAGGGGCAGAATTCCCGATTTTTCCCGAATTTCCGCCCTTTTTTAACTCGTTCCGGAGATTTTTCAAATTTTCCCCCTCAAACTCCGTCCCAGAAGGGGGAAAAATCCCAAATTTTTCCCATTTTTTTTTTTTTTTTAACTAATTCCAAGGATTTTGGGGCTTTCCCCCCCCCCCCCCAAAAAAAAAAAAAAAAAAAAAAGGAAGAGAAAAAAGTATTTTTATTAAAGCAGTTAGAAGTTTCTGAC